AAGGTGGGTTTTGCTTGATTACGTGTATTTGTTTCTACGGTTTTGCTTTTCTTTTTTGTTTGTACCAATGTTCAGTGGAGATGAGAGAGAAAATACTTCTGTCAATGAAAAATTTAATTAAATTTGAAAAAGAAATGCAATGCTTTGAATAAGATACAACAATTTATAATTAGAGATTTTAAATAGTTTCTTCATGACAATAAACTCACACGTGTTTGTTTGGGTGCGGGGTAGGTGTATGTCGCTCTACAACTTTTTACCAGCATTCAGAGCATACCTCCCTGGAGAACACAAAAGAATTTTAAAAATTAATGAGGAACTTAAAGATTTCATTTTGGAAAGAGTGAAGGAGCATCAGAAGGTACTGGACCCCAACAACCCTCAGGACTACATTGACTACTACCTCTCCAAAATGCAGCAGGTAAGATGCATGGGGAAGCACCTTACTTGTTGAGTAAGACTGATATTCCAAGGATTCTTACAGGCCACAAGCACAGGAAGGGGCATCAGAGAGAACCCCAAAGTGCCCACATCCCCCAAGGACACCATTGGCTTTCTAGTAACTGGTCTTTGGTCTGCCCATATCCCTATCTGAAGTCTGTATGGAAAATGAGATTGGAAGAGTTCTGCTTTTCTGGGTGATGAGCTGGTGATCTGGACTTTCCTGTTTGGAAGGGGATATTGTATTGGAGAGTGATAATAGGAATCGACTAATAAACATTTACCAAGCAACTACTATATGCCAGGCACTCTGCTAAGTGCCAAAGACAGAAAAGAGGCAAAAAAGAACCCCTGCCCTCAAAGAGTTCACAATCTTATGAGGGAGAGTATATGTAAGCAAATGTATACAAAGTAAGCTCTAAACAGGAGAAATGGGATGCAGAGCAGGGCTTGGAGTCAAAAAGACTTGAGTTTGAAACCAAATTCAGACACTTCTTAGCTGTGTAATCCTGGGGAAGTCATATTCCTCATTTGTAAAATGGGGATAATAGCATTTATCTCCCAGAATGGTCATTAAGATAATGTTGCTAAAGGACGTGGTGAACTTTAAAACATTGTATAAATACTAGCTATAATCTCAAAATCTAGCTATAATTTTCTCTCATAAAATCACTCAAAATCAAGATCTTTCTTGATTGTCCAAGTAACTCATGAGAATTCAGGGCTGGAGGTGGGGAGGAGAGAGTAAATGTGTTCTCTACCCCCAACACCATCATGGCAGTGTCATGAACTCTTTCCTCTCTGTATTCACATCATAACCACCTTAGTTCAGATCACCAGCATCTCTTACCCAGACAGTGACAATTCTCTCCTACCAGCTCTCCAAGCATCCAGACCCTCAATCCATTCTTCATCAAATCTGCCAAGTTAACATGCATAAAGTGCAAGACTCTCTGGGTTATTCCCATGATAGGAAGCTTCAGGGCTCCTAAGACAAAACACTAACTCATGTATTTGGCATTTAAAGCCCTTCACAATTTGGCTGCAGCCTCTCTTTCCAGGCTGGTTACACATTCTTCCCTCTCACAGCCTCCCTCTGCCCCAGCCAAGCTGCCCTGCTTGCTCTTCTTTGTACACAATATTCCATCTTTTGCCTCTTTACCTTTATACAGTCTGGCCACCCTCCCTGGAATGCTCTCACTCTCTTTCCTCAACACTTAGCAGCCCTAATATCCGTTCACACTCAGCTGCTGCCTCTTTCAAGCAGCTTCTCTTATTCTTCCTGTTGTTAATATCCCACCCCCAAATCTCTGTGTATGTATTTTCCATGGATCCCATGTGTACTTATATTTATATGTATTGTATTCCTTCAGTAGAATCGAAACTCCCAGAGGGTAGGGGCTGTCTTAGTTTTATCCTTTGCTTTTGTATCGCCATTACCTGGCATTCTGCTTGGCACAGAAAATACATTTTATACTTCCTTGTTGATTGACTGATTTCATATACTGACAAAAATGTTAAACACTACAGAACCAGGCTGTACATCATTGAACTGTTCACTAGAGACTTTCTTTCAGGTTGAAATGAAGGTATCCTTAAGAACTTTTTAACACCCTCCCTCCATATATTGCCACTCTGTTTCTATTGCCTCTGCAATTTTCATTTTTTTCCAGGGCCCTGGCCAATGGGAGATTTTTTAAAAATAGTGTTAAGCTGACATACAAGCATGAGAGTATTGATTCCATTGCTTTATCTTTTCTCATTAATTTATTTACTTTATGCTTGTCTGGTTTGAAGTTTTGCAGGTCAAAAATTGACTCATGTTTGAGTTTCTGTTTTTTAGGAAATGCCTGAAACCCACCCTTTTCTTGAAGTCTGTCTTCTTTTATCAAATATTTATTTTCTCCCACCAAAAGAAAAAGACAAATAATAGGCTTCTTAACAAACAAGCATAATGAAGAAAAATACATTTCTATATGGCCTTGTCCCAAAATGTGTCCCTTTCTACATACTAGTCCATGAATTCTCTCTCAGAAGGCAGGTACCATTCTTCATCACTAGTACTCTGTGCTCATGTTTGCTAGTTGAATTGACATGAGTTCATAAATCTTTCAAAATTGTTCATTTTTACAAGACTGATGGCTATAAGTCCATCTTATTTTGTTCAGGATGAAGCTTGTATTTGCAGGATTACTTATTTAGTACTATAACTCAATCTGCTTTGATTTTAATATCATTGTTTCACCTCTGTAGGCCTCAAGTTCTTTTTCTTTAAAATGAATGTGCTTGGCCAGTTGATCTCCAAGATGCGTCCTAGCTATAAATCCTAGGAGCTTGCGTATTTCATAGAATTTCATAGAATCTGTGGGTTGGAAGGAGTCTTAGCAGCCACTTAATTTTTAAGGCTGTCCCAGAAAAGGTTAGAATTCCTGTGCTTCCTCATTTCCCAGAAGACAGAACTCACAAGTCATTTGAAGTTACAGAGACACATTTAATCTCCACACAAGGGGATAATGTCCAAGATGTAATACGTTTCTTCATTAAGTAATAAATTCCCCATGTAAGGAAATCTTCAACCTGGGGCTGGCTGACAATTTAAGGGAGTTTTGGAAAAGGAAACTTCTGATCAGTTACAGATTGGCTGGTTGAATTTCCGTCTCCCTACAAAATTTGAAATTCTGTATTCTCCTGCCCGAAGACTTTTCTCTCAGTTCCCTGTTCTGAAAATCTGAAATCCCTTCTTCTTTTTGTTTCTTTTAAACTAAAATGCTGTCCTGATTTGTAGTAAAAGTATCTGTATGCAAGGTCTCTTAGCAGGTTATCAACTTTTTGAGTGAATTACTTTATCAGGTCCTCACCATGCCACATATATCATAGATAATAAATAGAGAGCTGAAAGGATTCAGCTCTCTCCTGTTACATATGAGGAAACTGAGGCCCAGAAAAATTAAGTGACTTTCCCATGGACACAGACCCCTTAGCTGAGAATAAAGTTTAATTCATCTTCCTGATTCAAAGCCTAGTGCTCTATTCACTATGTCATATTTCTGGACGGGAAGAAGGTTGCCTGGGAAAAGTACGCCTATGGATGGGTAAGGGAAACCTAAGAGCATTAGGAAGGTTATTCTGTTTAAGAGTGGGGAAATGAAGGTGGGGGAGAACTCCTAAGAGAAACTTTAAGAACTTCACATGGTTACTAATGGCTTTTCCTGCTGTTTCTCATTACTTAATGTATTTTGTATCTCTGCTTTAGGAGAAAGATAATGCTCAGACTGAATTTGACTTGGAAAATGTAAAAATGACAGGAGTAGATTTATTTAGCGCAGGAACAGAGACAAGCAGTAGCACCCTACGATATGGCCTGCTGCTCATTCTGAAATACCTGAGGTCCAAGGTAAGTGCAAGAACTGCCATGCTTTCAGACCAGGCTTGCTTTCCCATTCCTGCAGCTTGCCAGGAGCTCGTCTCTCCTTTCCACCTATTGGATTTGCATGACTTCCTCACAGATCAGCAACAGGTCAGACAGTAGCATATTGAAGAAAACAGGACCCCTGAACAAGACCTGTTAGTTATTTAACATGTGGAGGTCTGTCATGAGGAATTCAATTCACTTTAAAGAACATATAAAGCTCCCACTGTGCACCCTCAGTTCTACCATAGGTAGAACTTACATATTGACAAATGGAGACTTCATGTAAGGAAAGACTTACCAATTATTAAAATTCTCCAGAAGTCCATTCAGCTGCGCAGGAAATAGTGAGTTCTTGCTTACTAGAGATTCTCAAGCAAAGGCTGGTTGACCCTTTGTTCAGTCCATTAGAGTCAGGATTCCTGTTCAGCTATGGATGGCCCTAGGTGAAAACATGTCACCTGTAATGCTGAGATTCTATGCTCAGCAGCTCAGGTATGAGACAGGAGCTGAGATACAGAGCTGGTGAATGGTTTAAATCAAGATGATAATGCCATCACCAGCACTAACAAATTCAAATGATGGCATCGACTTTCTTTGACAATAAGAGCTGGCATAATAAACATAAAGAATGTGAGGGTTACAAATAACTTGACATGTAATTTCATTTGATGTCTGCTAAGGGAGGTGCAGTTTTTATCTCCATTTTAGAAATCATAGGATAATAGAGTTAGAGGGTAGGGAACCTTAGAAGACAGATAATTTATGATCCTCATTTTTCAGATAAGCAAAATGAGGCTTTCACAGATTTAATGACTTACCTGAATTTACACAGGTAATGTCTAAAGAGAAATGTAAACACAATTCTTTCTGACTCCTACCCAGTAAATCATGAAAGTTTATTGTATTGCTGTTACAGAAGCCTTTGTATCCTTGACTGAGTAGCAGGAGGACACTGAGCTCATCTGAGAATCATCTCAGGTCCTAACATCAGGCAGATATTGCAAACAGGCTCAGTTGAGAATTCCCAGGAGAGAGGAACATTGAGTGGTGCTTTGTATTTTTGTGTCTGCAGCAAAAATTCTTGAGGAAATTGAACGTATTGGACAATCGACTTCCTTCCATAAGGGACAGACAAGATATGCAATACATGGGTGCTGTGGTGCATGAAGTGCAAAGATTCATTGACCTCGTACCTCTCAACATACCCCATGCAGTGAACCGAGACATTCATTTCCAACAATATATCCACCCCAAAGTCAGTAGTCTTGGGAGAATGGGATCTTAAACACTATTTATTCCAATGATCTCATCATGGACATGAGAAAATGGAGTCCCATTGTCATGATCTCACTTAAAGTTCTCCTTGAGGCAGTGCGTTATTACATACAGCTTACTCGCATGTGGTGCTAAATGAAGAATAAGAGAAAAGTGTGCCCTTATCTCTGTTCTTCCTGCTTCTCATTCACCACAGTAATGCTCTGGAAAGAAAATGTACAGGGAACGTAACAGGGTGAGGTTGCTCAAGAGAAATGTTTTTGTCCTTTTCTCTTACTAGGCAGTGAAGCAGAATGTATACATACTATTCTCTGTTCCATTGTGTAGATAGAGACATTGATTTTCAGGTGTAATGGCTTCCCTAAGATCATTTCAGTGTTGGAGCTGAGACTAGAACCTAGGTCTTTAGACTCTAAAATGCTGCTTTCTGGGGTTGCTAAATAAACAGTGAATGAATTAAATGAATTAGATTGAAGTTTCCTAGCAATGGCTGAGCAAAACTCTTCTCCCTCAAAGGAAAGTGAAGGCAGCATCACACCTAATTTCACATTTAATGTACCCCACCGAGGCATTGCTCAGTTCAAATCATGAAGGCTTCACTAAGAACTTACTATGTGAAAATTGCTAGGCCAAGTGCTATTGAAACAAGGTGACAATAGAAGGGTTTTGACCATTGAAGACTTTGGCTTGCAGGAGGGAGCTGAGTTTGGAACCAGAAAAGTCAGCCTAAAGTATTATTTCTTTCCTTGAGACCCAAGCTGTGATTTGATTGGCAAAGTGGCTTCTTGCTGAAGAAATTCCCTGAGAAGGTAGCCTAGTGTGCCCCTAGAGTCTTTAAGCATTGCCTGGGGCACTGGCCATTCACATGTTCTGCCCAGAGTCCCACAGGCAGCAGGTGCACACATGATGTATAGACCAAAGAACTGAGGGTAGGGAGAGCACAAAGAGCTTAGCATCTCAGCCAAGGTTTCCTGTAAGAGGGGTTACCCAAGCCAATCCTTGAAGAAAGCTGGGGAATCTAAAAGGCTGAAGTGAGCAAGGAGTGGCTTCCAGGTGTGGGACATGGTCACTATAAAGGCATGAAGACCACAGAGGGGGCCTTGTGGATGGGGAACAGCAGCTGGACTAGTTCAGCTGGAGCCCAAGGAAGGCTTGATGGGGACAATAATGGGGACATCACTCTGGAAAGCTAGACTGGGGCCTAAGCAGATTCTTAATGGGATGACATCTCATTGATAGCACATGCAAAGAAGTATGCGTTTTGTACTAGAGAACATAGTGAGTCTCTGAAGATTTTTGGAACTAGAATACAAAGCATATTCATAATGACACCTGACTCTCCTCTGGAATTTCTTCCCTTTAGGGCACAACAATATTCCCACTGCTCACCCCAGTCTTGCATGACAAGAAAGAGTTTCCCAAGGCTGACCAGTTTGACCCACAGCACTTCCTGGATAAGAATGGGAAATTCAAGAAAAGTGACCACTTCATGCCTTTTTCTGCTGGCAAAAAGAAACCCTTCTCATCTCTACCTCTCACTCTAAAAGGGGAATCCCATTCTCCCTCCCACTCTCCTCTGGCTGAGCCTCCTCCTGGCAGTTCTTCTGAAGACACATAGCCCACTCTGACATGACATACACTGTCTTTTCTAGTATTCCCATGACCTGGCTTTTTCTCAGAGCCCTGAATAGATGAGCTGAGCCTCTTGCCTGGCTCACCTGCCCTCTAACTCCATTCCAAGATCCACTACACAAGGGGTTACTGTGAGAAGAATGTTGTGAAGAAGGAATTCCTTCCTTCTCCTTATGGCCATTAATGGTTGAATTATAACTAATAATAATAGTTCTCACCTTTTCTGCCCATCTACATATTTCTCTTTTACTCCTTTTCCCATTATTGTGCTGGAACAGCAAGTCTCTTTTACTCTGGCTCACTGTGATATTCCATGAAGATTACCAAGCATAATTCCGTTTCTTTCTAGGAAAACGGTCTTGTGCTGGAGAGGGCCTGGCGAAGATGGAGGTGTTTTTGTTCCTTACCACCATTCTACAGAACTTCACTCTCAAACCAGTTGGAGATCCAAATGAAATTAGAATAAAGCCCAATTATGTTGGATTCAGCAACGTTCCACCACATTACCAACTGTGCTTTCTTCCTCACTGAGAAGAACACAAAGTTGATTTGGTGAATTAGCAAGCTGGTTCATCTTCTCTACTGAATACTCTCATGTGTTTTTCTGGAATCCCTTTGAGGGAAAGAAAAATTCCCACATCTTGATTAAAATGAGTTTTAAATTTCAGAGACATGACAGCCTTGTTGAGTATCTTCAATGTCATTATGATAGGGCTGCATTACAGACATTATGTGCAACCCTTGCACCAATATCCAGGCAAATCCTCAATTCTAGATTTAGGCTGTGGAGGAAGTTCTGTAAAACATCTCGCCTCCAAACCATATGTTTTTGTACTTTTCTTTTCATGTTTCCTTCCAGATGATCCTATTTTTTATTATATAGCTCTCGTTTGTGAATTTGGGGCAGAATGAACAGGGCTATGTTGCTAACAACTCCAGACATGGAAATTTGTGTTTTTAGTTCCATACACTGAGGATTCATGACTTCAAAGAAAATGTGGTAACAGGGAAGGATTCCTGGCTTTGGGGGCAGAGGACCTGAGATCAATCCTGCCCCTAATGATAACAACTTGTGTGGCCTTGGGCAAGTCGCTTCACCATTTGTTCTCACATCAGATTCTTCATCTCTACAATGAATGGGTTGGATTAGGTAGGCTCAGAATTCCCTAATGAGTCTCCATCTATGATACTTTGATCAGTGGGGTGAGTCCATTCATCAGTGCTTTAGGTCCTTACTGCATTTCTCATTTCACTTTCCTCCTTTCAGCACTGAGCCAGTTCCAACTCAACTTGCTCTCCACTTTCAAATCCCACATCCCTTTTTCCTATGGGACGTGCACTACTTTACTGAATCCTAGCAAGAAATTATTGCTACCACTTGCCTTCTCTGTTATTATAACCTTGCAAGTGAACACAGATCTCTGCCCCAACTGACTACCCTCTCCCTTCAGTATCTATTCTAAGATTACTCTTCTTTACTGGGGCCTCTCCTTTCATCTCACTCCTTCCCTCTCACCATAACACTGAACTTAATACATCACTAAGAAAATTGAGATTATGTATTGCTAATTTATTCTTTTCTAAAATTGTTTATTCTTAGTCATGTCTCCACCATCACACACACTTTCTTTCTTTTGTTCTAACATGGTAGAGGAACTGGAAAGAAAAAAAAAAAGGAACATAGCATCTCTTTTTCTAACCACTCACCCCACTACTTTGGCCTTGCTCTCACCTCCCCCTCTCCTGCTGAGAGTTTCAACCTCTAACCTCCCCTGTCTTTCCCTAATTTTCAATTCTCTTAAATCCATTGATTCCTATCCTATTGCTTACAGTAAAATGCACTTCTCCCTCATCCTTAAAACAAAACTAATCAAAAAAATCTCATTTCCAGAGGTTTCCTGGCTGACTCTTACTGCCTATATTTTACTCAGTACTTTTGTAACTTTGAAAAGACAAAGTATGCCTTTTTGAACATCTGCTGAGTCAACAGTAGATTTGCTTCCACTTTTGGGAGGCTCAGGATATCTGAGTCCTGCATGACTGGCTTTTCATCTTAGAGGCTCAAGAGTGCTGAGTCACACATGGCCAGCAGCAAAGCCACCTGGGAATCCTTCTATATGCTCTGTACGGTGTCAATTATATTGCCTTCATCTCTCTTTCTTCCTTTCCATGGCCAAACTCCTAGAAAAACTATCTACCTATTGGCCACTTTTTCACCTCTTTATGACCTCTTTTGGGCTTTTCTGGGCAAGATCGAGAGCAGTCTGCCATTTCCTTCTCCAGCTTATTTAACAGATGAGGAACTGAGTCAAACAGGGTTAAGTGACTTGCCCAGGGTCACACAGTTAGTAAGTGTCTGAAGCCAGATTTAAACTCAGAAGGAGTCTTCCTGATTCCAAGCCCAGTCATCTATACAACTATATACCTAGGTACAAAGGTAAATAACAGTGAGTAATCAGAAGGGACCATACAAGGATACAGTATTTACAGGTCTCACCTGTAGCCCCCAAGAAGCTGTAGTATGTGCTAAGGCCAAATCCTGCTAAAACCATCTTGGCTGACCAGCTAAAGCAAGTTGAGGGTAACTGACAGGCCTGAAATTCATTTGTGACTTAGGGGGTGTCAACCCAAAGCATATAAAGACTTCCCCTTGTGGAATGAGTGGATGAA